ATTTACAAAGAGTAAGTTTATCATCACTTGATTATAAGGATTTCATAGCTTATCATAAAGCTGTGGACTTATATATATATATATATATATTTCCTTTTTTACATTTTTTTAAACATTTCAGCTAGCCAACATTCTTTGCATCCCTAGTTAGAGCAGTTGATGCTTGGATATACTCTGGAAATATGACTGCCTCTCCTCACTCAAACAGTTTCCAAAACCACAATTATAATCTTGCATCCATCTATAATTTCAAGTGGCCGTCTATGCCACAGTTTGCAGTGATCCGGTGAAGATCTGTGATTTTCTAACCTCAAAAGTCAATTCTGTGCTTTCCTAGTTAACAGACCAAAGAGCAATTCATTATCGTGAACAATTATCCTTCATCCTTCTTGAGTATTGAAGCTATGATCTGAAAATGCTTACAAAGTAATAAATGTGTTACGTTACAACAGCTCCTGTGGCCAAATGTTTCCTTGTAGATATACATCTTAAATTAATATCCTCTCTGTCTCTCTCATCTACACCACCCAACCCTTTTGAATCTCAGTGAATCTTGTACTATATGTGTTTGTCAGTGTGTGCACACTCAGGTTTGGCAGTGACTGATATGGACATGCCCAGATCTGTATGTTCAAAACAAGCAGCATGCACAGTCTTCAGGTGCAGCTGACAGATCCGTATCTCCATAGATAAGAGCCACCTGAGTCCACTTCTGAATTGTGATTCAGTTCAAGTCACAAATTAACCGTCCGTTTTTGGATAGAACTATAAGGGACTGTGAATGCCAAATTGTGTCATTCATTCACTGATTTCAGTTTACGTATCACTCACAGACCCCACATTATGCCCATTGAGTGAGCTTCATGTCTGTGTAGAGCAGAGAATTAAACATTCTTAAACGTGCCAAAGCCAAAAGTGAGCCAGAGTTCATATCCAAAGCACACGTCAGTTTAGATGATCTCTCACTGTAGTTCACAAATGCCTTGCAGTCCTAAAAAGTTTTCCTTTTTAGTTTTCCTTTTCCGACTTGCACTCAGACAAAAAAAGAGAACAGTACATGCATGAAGTTTTCACTCGTCATGTGCAATCTTTAGTCCTCTTTTCTCAGAATGGCCTGAGAGAACACAAAAAGTTTATTTAACAAGTGAGACTAAGCTTAAAGTACACTGTACACACTATTCCAGGCAAGGCTATTGTGAACAATTATGAGCTGTTTATATTTTCATTTGGTACAATAATATTCCAAAATATAAAAAATAATTTTGTTCCATTTAAATAAATATATTTTTATGTAATGTATTCCTGTGATGGCAAAGCTGAAATTTCAGCATCAGTTACATTTAATCTTATTATTATTAGTGTTGAAAACACTATTTTTGTTTAAACCATGATATATTTTATAGGATTCTTTGATAAATAGAAAGTTCAAAAGAACAGCATTTATATATATATATATATATTTTTTTTTTTTTCTTAACCCCCAAAGACTAAGCTTAAAGTACACTGTACACACTATTCCAGGCAAGGCTATTGTGAACAATTATGAGCTGTTTATATTTTCATTTGGTAGATCCACAAGACCTCTGTAATATATTTCCATTACACAGAGGCATTCATAAGCTCCTCACCGTTTGTCTAACTGTTTGTTTCTGTTCCCAAATAGTGATCTGACTATATGTAACATTTTAAGGCGTCATGTTCCTGATGTGTTGAGCATGAATCATTTGCATAGAATGCAATTGAGACAAGCTCAGTGAAAAGTCTATCCAAGATGGTGGACACACAGCACTGTAAATATAATAAAGATTTAACGCTGAAAAGTGTCAATAGAAATAGATTGGTCTAATTAAAAATAGAACACCCCAAAATCAGGTGAAAAAAAGTATGCGTTTTTAATGCTTAATAGAGTATTGTTATTAGCTTAGCAATCACTAATTAAATGCTAATCAATTGAAAGGATTCTCCTGTGTGCTTTGCAAGAGGAATGCTATTTGTATGGTTTATAGAGTTGACCAAACAAACAGATAAATGACTGATCATCCAAATCAAATCACCCAGTCAAATCACTGCACTGAGAAGCCTTGTTGTTATTCACCATTTTAGCCATCAAACTTACTTTGTATGTCTGTGACATACAAACCTCCTTTTTTGGAAAATTCTGAAGATTATGGTAAACTGGTGTTGTGGTACATGTAATTCGGATTATACTAGGTGTTTTAAGAGGCTAGTAAAAGGAGAGTTGTTCGGTCCGTTTCCCAGAAGCCAGCCAGTCATTTCAAAAAATGTAAGTGCTGGATCAGGTTGTAGAACACATGAACAACTTATTTTGCAAATTTTGAATGATCATCTCTACATTTGTACAAAGAAACTATATTTTACCCGTTAGTGTTAGTTACACATTTAACCTTTGTGTTAATGTCAAAGTTTATGACATGTTGAGTGTCCGACTTCTACAGTTGCACTGAGTGTTTCAACATAACATAACCTGGTACAAAGGTTTGTGCTTTGTTTTTTTGCACGATGATGAATTTGAAGTAATTTATTCCAAAATCATCACGCCTTTTTATTAGATGGACACAGATACAGCCTTTGAAAATTGGTGAGTGTGGTTAAGTAATTGCTGTCGTCAGGTCAGTTCAGTCATTTATGAGGTTCTATTTGAGTTAGGAAATCTAGGTAGGCATTAGACAGCTTAACTAAGTCTGGTAACGGAGCATGTGTGAGTGTGTGTGTGTGTGTGTGTGCGTGTGTGTGTGTGTGTGTTTGTGTGTGTATTCCCATACTTAATGGCACGGTTATAAATCTTAGTTCTTGTTCTAACTGAGATCTACACCTACACATGCTCTAGTCTTTTGTGTTTTTAATTGTACAATCTTCAGGGGAGGGAGAGTAGAGCTTAGTCAGTGTCAGCCATTCATAAACAGGAAGTCACCACCCCACAAGTATTACCCATCAAACCCTCCTCCCTGTGATTAGCTCCCATTCCAAATCTCAGTGCCCTAACTTAGATTAGAAAATAGAAATAGAAAATTCTCCATGTGACTTGTGCGCTTTATTCATAGTCTTCTGAGGTCTTGTGCAACTCACACTTGTTGATAAGTATATCCATTCTGAGTCAGATCTTTTAACCATTTTAGCCCTCAGGCCTGGAAGGTGTGGTCCTCTTTTCTCATAAACCCATTGAAAGGGCCCCTTAGTGGGGCCAGTTTTGAGGATCCCACCTGGACTGTGTGAAAAGGGAGGCCAGTGCAGTGAGATCATGGAAATGTCTTGTGTATCTTTAACAGCACAGTGTTCAGAAACTGAGTGCTAACTGATGTTTTAGCACCTACTTGATAGCACACTGTTATTCCCAATATGCACGCTCACCCGGTGGCGTATTTGTAGAAGTGTCTGTTTCGACTCATTTGTGCTCTATCCGCATCAAGTTTAGTGAACCTCTTCCATGATCTGTGCAGGCGGTTGGATGCTAACCACATCACGTCAGTGCCTGAGGACAGTTTTGAGGATCTGCAGCAGCTCAGGCACCTCTGGTTGGATGACAACAGCCTGACTGAGGTTCCCATTGGGCCCCTACGGCACCAGAGTAACCTGCAGGCTCTGACGTTGGCCCTCAACAGGATCACACACATCCCCGACAATGCCTTTGCCAACCTCTCCAGCCTGGTTGTATTGTGAGTACTTTGCAATTTTGGTCCCACACACTAGAGGAATTCATAAGATCCTGCTTTTAACACTGATAAATTTACCTTCCCTTGTTGCCCTTTAACACACGTCAGTTAAATCCATCAATGCACTACACTAACTGTAGTCCTAGGCGGCTCGTAAAACACTCATACAAATACACTTGCACATGCAAGTAAACAGTGGCGTGGATGGGCGATTTTAGAGAGAGCAAACAGGGAAAAGCAAAATGGACCCTTGTGTCTTGCAAAGTCAAACAGAGGCTTTAGACCCTCTCTCTCTCTCTCTCTCTTGCTCCCTGTGCCTTACTTCTGGAAGCTTCTATGTGGGTCTGATTTACCAATTACATTCCAGATGCTGGAAAATATTTGTCTTAGGAGTGGAGGCCAATTAATCCGTTAAGTAGACTGAACAAACACACAGACCTGTGTGGTGAAGTGCTCAGCAAAACGGCTGAGGAGTTATCCATTCAGAGACTTCCAGGGACAGAATATGTTTGTGTTGGTGTTCTGCTGAGAAGTGCATCTTTTTAATGACTGGAAAATTCAAGCAAAATAGACATCATCCCTTGTCATCTGAACAGTTATAAATTTAAAAATTAATTCTGCACAGATGAGATGTATTATTTTACAGGGTTTCTGTTGGTCTTAGCCTTAATTCGCCCTTCCACAAATTATGGCCTAAAAATGTCTTAAATCGGAGCAGAAAGCCTTACATTTATAAAGTCATGGCATTAAATGTTTCATTCACTGCAAAAAATTAATGTCTTCCTGAGTATTTTTGTTTTGTTTTCCAACACAAATATCTAAACATCCTTAAATCAAGATACATTTACTTGAGATGCAAATTGAACATATGAAGTTGTTTTCTGAGAAATTGTGAGTTTATCTGTCAATGGGATAAGAATTTAGATAAAGATTTTAAATGTTTTAATCATTAACTCACTTCATTTTAATCAGTTTCTGATAAAACAAGACTTGTTTTATGTTATTTTGCTTCTCGAGTAAATGAATCTCAATTTAAGAATCTTTTTTGGACATTTGCACATAAACACAAGACAACACTACTGAGGAAGACACTTTTTTGCAGTGTAATCAGAAGGTACAGTGAAGTATTTTACTGGTTAAGAGCAGAGGTTTTCAAGGCATGCTTTTTTTTTTTTTTTATGAATCTAAAAGTAATGAAGCTTTCTTCTATTCCCTTCGATTTATTATATGTGGTTGTGTTCCGTTCAATTTATTGCTTCAATTTTCTTTACTTGGTCATAAAAAGTCTTAATACATCTTCAATAATAACCTTAATAAAAGTCTTAATAATAATCTTCATAAAACCTGCAGAAACTAGTTTTACATCTCAGATTATATTCACTATATGCTTATTAGGGATGCACCGATACCACTTTTTCCAGAACAAGTCCGATACGATACTTTTATTTTTTGTACTTGCCGATACGATACTTGTATTTTCATAGCATTGGTAATTAAAAAAAAATATTAGGTTCAGAAACCAAAAACTGGCTTCATTTAGCAAACAGATTTCCTTCAAATATTTTTACACTTAATTATACTTGTTTAAATGTATTGTACAAGCTTTTTTACAAGGATATTTGCTCTCGACAAGCTCGATTTCATCTGTGCCGCTGCACGCTCAATCCACTCAGTGTGCTTTGCTTATCAGCTCGCGCAAATCAGCTATACAGGCATGAATATTGAATGTTTAACATTATATTAATTACATGTACTTCGTAGACATACTTAATCTCTAATGACTCCATGTTTGTTCTGTTGTCGGTGATTCTTTATCTGGACACTGCACTGTTCACATGCTGTGCAGGATCGTTTTTTGGTATCGGGGCATTTTAATGAGTATGAGTACAGGAGCGCAGTATCGGACCTGATATCGGTATCGGTGCATCCCTAATGCCCTAATGCATGCTCATTTCCCTTATTTTTATATTTAGTTCACCTTTGCCATCATCTAATGCACACTTAAAATTAATCTTTAAAATCGCTTATAATTTAATTAATAAATTGCTGTGAAATGTAATCTTAAGAAAAACTCAAAATTAATATATTTTTCATGCTCTTTTTCACATATTATATGATATATTATAACGTTATACCTGATATATATTTTATTTTTAATTAATTTAGACAAAAAAAGTATAGAATTTAAATTTTGTCCATTTATTTTCATAGCATCAAAATAATTATCAGCCTATTGGCTAGAACCCCAACGAATGTCTAAGTATCGCTTCTAAAATCTTGTTTGTCCATGTTGTGCAGGCATCTTCACAACAATCGGATCCAGGAGATTGGAAAAAACTGCTTTAATGGGCTGGACAACCTGGAGACATTGTGAGTTCCCCCTCAACTTCATATGTAGCCACACTTCCTGTCATTAAAGAGATTGCAACCGCATGTAACGCTACATTTACATCTGCTGCAGTGGGTCTGTCATCAATAGCATCACGCTACATAATTTTACAAGAGATTGTATGTGGGTACAAGTACAGTTATATAGCGTTTGGTTGGATATTTATCTGCTGCTGTAGCGCCCTCTTCAGCAAGACTCAAGAGTTGCAGAGAATGTTGGGAGCTTTCTGTAAGTGAAGTGAGCGTGAGTGAAGTGACATGTGGCCAAGTATGGTGACCCATACTTGGAATTAGTGCTCTTCATTTAACCCATCCAAAGTGCACACACACAGCAGTGAACACACACCTGGAGCAGTGGGCAGCCATTTTTTGCTGCGGCGCCCGGGGAGCAGTTGGGGACTCGGTGCCTTGCTCAAGGGCACCTCAGTCATGGTATTGAAGGTGGAAGAGAGCGCTGTACATTCACTCCCCCCACCTACAATCCCTGCCGGTACGAGACTCGAACCTGCAACCTTTGGGTTACTTAAATGCGGATTGTTAATTCCAATCCGCATCTCTGATATTAATGTTATTGGTGCATATTGCCTTGTAAAGCCTTCTGGTATGGACTGCCAGTTCTGTGAATGTCCTATGATATTGATAACATCTTTTGTGCAGCATAATTAATATATGTAATAATTACATTTGATTTACAAAACATTTAATTTCTTTAACTTAATAAAACAAAAAAAACTTTATAGATGAGAATTCAAGTATAGGTTGGTGAAGGAATGTTTGTTTGTATTTTCATTTTTCTAGGTATCACCAGATGAGCAGTTGCTTCAAATTAAACTTCATTTTTTAAACTGACAAACAAAATCAGTGCTCCACATTTGGTATTCCTTAAGTCATTATCAAGTTTCAGCTGTAATCTGCTAGGCATCTTATCATAACCATATTATGTACAAAGTTTCACTTATCCCAGAGCAGCCAGGATAAGAGCAGTTTTTTCTACAGTATGCTTTTGAATGGCTGTTAGCTTGTCACATGTATTCTCTTGCATGTGGGATTTCCATTATTTATG